CCCCCCCCCCAGGCATGGTTCTTTCGCGAGGCATACGGGCGTAACCGTCCTGAGTACTATAATGGTAGGGCGTGGGATGATGGTGCTAGGGGCTTCGGACTCTTGAGTGTTCCGGTCGGACCTCGATCGCTCGTCTCGATGCAGGAGGGTCGGCAGTCTGGATGATCCGATCGGGCGAAACACGGGCCAGAGGGGGTGGGAAAGAGGCGGAGCGGAACTCCTGGGGCGCGATGATCCGTATCGCAAACATATGCCATCATTCATTTGCACCTTCATCTACTGGGCCTTCGATCCCCCCCCCCCACCTTTGTCCGGGAATTACTACAATGGGAAACACGAAAACAAATGGTCGAGGCCGCACAAGTTTCAGCGCTGATCGAGGCCGCCCTTTTTTTTTTCTTCTTCTCATCTTCCCCGCGCTCTCCACAGCGGTACCCGCTCCGTTCTTGTATGCGACACATGTCGCGAAACAACAACGTGGCATGGGCGTCAAACGCGAGGCAGAGCAGTCAATGAGATCAAAACAGGGCGGTGCGCGTTGCGCGGTCAAAGCAGGTTTCAACATGGCGTTTCGGCGCCTATAGCGCTGTGTGCGTGTGTCTATGTGCAGCGGTGTAGCCTATGAGCCAGCGCAGTCAAGCTACGCATGCCATGCTACGTACCTACATCCACCCCCTTACACACATACTTACTACTGCTTCACTCACGGCTCAAATAGAGTAGAATGAACACCTGGCCAAATGCGCGCCAATCTCGCTATGCCCAGCAGCATAATGCAGGGCTCAAGTGAAGCGAAGACGCGCCCCCCCTTGACTCCATGTCCACAAACAGCCTTTGACGCTCTCCTTGTCATTTGCCCACCCCTATTCACTACTCGGTGTGAGTTGGCACTGTCTCGCGTGCGGCGGTCTCGACTCTACTCCTCATCAGCAGCATCAAAAAAAAGAGCCCCCTTTCTTCTCCACGCGGAGAAGATACGCTACCAATTAGGGTGTGCCCTGGCGTACCAAACAAGGCAATGCTCTGCACCTCAGGCAGCCCCAAATCTGACCATTACCTCAGCCATCGCCTTTGTCCCATGCCCTCGTGGGCAGTGCTCAACCAAGCGATTCAATATCAACACCAAGACACGCTTGCTCCCCCCCCCCCCCATCTCTCTCTCTCCTTCTCCATGCCATGGCCTCCCTTAAACGCCGCTACTCATCTTATACGCGTCAACCTTACTAAGTATACTCGTGCTGACTTGGCTAGCCATGATAGTAGAACCAGAGAGGGAACAGTCTTATCACGCTCTCGGCACAACTGCCCACGTCCGACTTGGGAAACCAGGGTTGACTAATGTGTGGCTTGAGATGGCCTTTGTCAGACCTTTTTTCTTGTGAAGATTACCGTAAGCGCGTGGTATGTATGTATGTATGTAGATCATCTGCTCCCCCCGAACGGTGTGGAGTGGGGTTTGTCCCGATCTCGCTTGTGCGCGCGCCCGGATTTTAGCCCGGAGTAAGTAAAAAGAGAGACACACAAGAAAAAAAAATTCAAGTCCACTCCGGTGATAACAAAACACTTATCTGCGGAAGACATGCATTTGCTTCGCGTATAGCCCGTATTTCCGTATCTCACCACATGGACATGTACTGCGGTAATGTTTCACAGCTTCCTTGACACATGTCTTCTTTTACCTTGCTATATCCGCGTTGTTTCTTCTGCACGTATCTTACCTCCGCCCTTTTCGTCCGCCCATCATCTCATCACAGGGGACTAGGGGGACTGGGGGGTGGTGCGGTCTCGCCCCCTTGCACACATTACATTTTTTTGTCGTCTTGATAAGCACGACCCTATTTGACGTCTGACACTATGCATCACGCTTTGGCTCATACGTTGTATGCAACATGCGGCATGTGAAAAGAATGCAGGGTCGATGACACTACTACTTTATATCTCGCCTCGGTTTCCTCGGAACTTTTTTTTGGGGGGGTGGTGGTCTTGTCGCCACTAGAGGAAGGGAAAGAGACGTTTGCATAGATAGTGTGATCGACGGCTTTTCCTTGTTTGGGAGGGACGTCATGGGGTCGATCTTTCTCGTCTTGTGCTTGTTTGCTGGAGAGTGGGAGGCAGAGGTAGAGGTTTGGGGGGGGGGGTCTTCGGGCGAACACCTCCGAGAGATCCGATGCTTCCAACGGCTTTTTGCGGGTAAGGCTGGAAGGTGGGATGGGTTGGTGGTGTCACGTGCTGGGGATGGGTGGGGGTGGGGGGAGGTTTATCCGAGTGGAAGTGTGATTACTCTGGCTTTTCCGTGGATTACGGTATGGTCCGAGGCTAAGCCTGACAGTCGTTTTTGCCGAAGAACTTCATTGACCTGGGTTTTTTCTTTCTCGTGATTGTGATTGTGGGTTTGGGTTTGGGTTTAGAGCACGCTGGCCCGACCCGCGCGTGCGTGTGCAGAGCCCAACCGAGGTTTGCTCCTGCTGTTCACGTGTGCCTTTTCTTTGCAGATGAATTTTTTTTTTTCGTTAGCCTAACCCTGTCACTTGTTCGTACGAAGCGTACACATACTCGCCCTGAAGCCGTTCCGAACTTAGCTTGCGGGTAGCAGTAGCCCACCATCTCCAAATGCTAGTGCAAAGAAAAAAATCCAAGTTTTTTAAAACCTGATGGACGCTAATGCATGGCATTCCCGCTCAAATAGTGCATGAGCCTTGATCCCTGGTTTGATCTCTTCAACGGAAAAAGCGCGAGTAATGGCTAGATGGCGAATCATTTTTTGCTTTCGCCGATTGTGCCCGGAATTTTTTCCTTTTTGCATTTTTTGAATGATGGAAAAGTTTTCCAGGGCGCCGCCCGGGAGACTAAAAGATTGGGGTTGTGATGGCTAGAAGGCCGTTTGGCGCAAGGGTTTGCTTGTGCTTGGGTGCGGGAATGTCACACCACCTTTTTCTGTGATTGATTTTTCTGAGGGGACTAGACGGATTAACGGCTGGGGCTGAGGCTGAAAAAGCTAGAGCTATGGTTTTTCCGTATCCTGCCTTCCTTGCGTGCTCGCTTGAGATTCGGGTATACAAGGGTAGTTCAACCTCGGGCGTAACTAACACATTATTGATCTCTCGCTTGAGGTTCGGAATATTCGGGGTATTGGATCTCGGGTCTCGACATTCCCCCCTCCTTCTACACTATAGCATGCATGTGCACACATGAAACATGAATATTTTGTGCCGTGGCTAAATGTACATGAATATTGCAGCTCATCAACATGTGTTGTCAGTGGGGCGCATATTTCTTAGTACCCGAAGAATAATCACGGTTACATGATCCTTGTGTCCACTCACCCCTCTCTCTCTCCCGGCTGATTGGATTTTTTTCTCTGCACAGCGGAAAAGGAAAAGGAAAGAGGTATGGAGCTAGTCGATTGCATGCATGACATCTCATGATGCCACATTGCTGGATCGAGCTGAGGAAAAAAATTGTGTTGGGCTGGAGGGACACACACCGCTTGTAGTGTTCCGGTGAGTCGCATGCTCACTTTTTTTCTTCTAGGGGCTGTAAACGAGAAGAGAAAAAGGGGGTGTAGCTGTGGGCTGTTGTGGAGTCGGTGTGCGTGAGTGTTTTTATGGGATGATTTTGTACCATTGGATTAAAAAGAAAGGAGGTTGATAGGTATGTGGGTGTGAATTGCTTTTTGTTTGAATGCGAAGACCGGCTACATGACAATGTAGAGAGGTCATAGGGAAGTATTGGTGATGTAGGAGATATGAGACAAGGTAAGGGATAAGTGGGGTAAGTATATGGACTTGGTTGATGTGTTGTGTTGGGGGAAAGGGGATGTACTGTCATGTTACATATTGGGATTTGTTTCTTTTCTCTCTCTAGTAAGATGATAGGGTTAGGTTGATTCACATAGCTTGATGAGTCTGGATAACGTTTCGTAAAGACATGTACAAGATGACTGACTTCAAAAAACACCTCTCTTGACACTAAATGTCGACCGAGATGGCGGGAAA